GATGGTGACTGAAGTTGAGATGCCTGGTCAGGGTTGATTACATTACAGATCTTTCTTTGGATTTTGTCAAGAATCTTGAGATGTACAGCAGAAGCACGAGACTATATATGGCAACAGTTATGGTTAAAGTGGTAATAAGGAATGAGGTATGTTATATGAATGCAAGAGTACATGGTAGGATATGAAGATTATCAGGAAAGATAGTGACTGACCCTTGACTTGAAAAGTTTAAGATTTTAGTGTTCAGAAAAGCACTGATATTGGTGTCTGTTCTACAAAGTGGAAATTCTCGAAAAGAACACAGAGAAACACACACACACACACACACACACACACTCTCACTCACAAAAAATATATATAATATGTGGGCATAAGAATCAACACTGCATGGTTTTGTTTCACATATCAAGCATCATCAGGCAATGTGAAACTGAGTCATCAGGCAGTGTTGATTCCTGTCCACACTATCTATATCTGATGTTTAGCATTCTTTCCTATGAATAACATCATCATTAAGGTGGTACAATCAATTTTTGGTATTGGGGTGCTCATGAATATTTATCAGATTGGATTGGTGGAAAAGTCAGGCAAGTTCATGGACAGGGAGTGATACAGTCCAATGCCTAATAAAGGAAAGTGAGTAGGAGGTATTTGTTTTGTTGATTATATAATTTTGAAAGACCAATAATATTTCTGTTCTTGTATATAAATACTTGTCACAAAATAAAATCCTTGCATATACCTTGATAAAGTCCCTCAGAGGATGAAACAAGCTGGCTAAGATAAGTTTTCCTTTTGTCTTTCTGTCCTGGGTAAGATGATAAACTATGTCCAGCAGCAAGGCCCCTGATCAGGAGGTTTTGAGGAGCATGGAACCACCTCTTAATTACTGGTGTCCCCAGGTCCAGCCTGACCCAGAGTGGTAGCACCTGTTGGGGTCCCAGCTATGGGCAAATAGTTAACACCCAAACTTGTGTAAAAATAGATTTTAATACCAGAAATACTTTCTAATAAAAAAAAATTATTACCAGCAATAATTTTTAAGGAAAAATTATTATCAGCAATACTTTAAAAAAAAAAAAAAAAATACCAGCAATACAAACAGCTATACATTCTTAAAAAAAAAAATATGACCAGCTATAGATTTCTTCAAGGAAAAATATTCCCAGAAATAGATTTTTGAAGAAAAACATATTACCCGCAATAAAAATTTTGTCAGCATTAAATAACCCATTGAAGTTGATATGTTGTAAAACAAAACAAACTGCTATGAATCTATTTCAAAATTTTGTTGGCATTAAATGACTCACTGAGGTTGATATGCCATAAAACAAAACAAAACAACCAACCACCCAACCTTTTGTCATATTGTCCTTTTACAGATATACTCTATCTGAAATTTTTACCCATGCACACATCACTAACACATGAAATGTAAACCATTTAATTATTATTCCTTTGTTACTGAAAAGTTAAACAAAACAGGAAAATTTTGCTTATGGGTGCTGCACCTCTCCCATAGCATTTTGGTTGGTCGATTTTGTTTAGCAGCATATCAACCTCTATGTGTTATTTAATGATGAAATCTAAATATTTTGAATGCAATTGTATGCCTGCAACTACAGATAAAATGTATTGTTGGTCAATTTTTTTTTTTTTTATATATAAAAATATATTGCTTTTTTTTTTATATTTTCATAGTGTTTTTTGTTTGAAAGTTCACCATAGCTGGAACCCTAACAGGTGCTACCACCCTGGGTCAAGATGGACATGGGAACAACAGCAATTAAGACCTTCAATCTCTCGACCAGAGGCCTTGCTATTGGATGTAGTTTATCATCATACCCAGGACTCCGCCAGCATCTAATAGCTCTCTTAAGTCCTTGAGCTTAAGACCCCTGACCTAGCAGATTCATTTGCTTGAAGCCATTTTTAATCATTATCTGAGAAGGGAATTGTATACAGCTGCTAAATTAATAACATACAATGAGAGTAAGTAAATACCTTTCTGTCTGCTCTGGTAAGCAATTTAATAAAACCTCTCACTGGGGTTGGGAACAGAACATCTTGCCTGGCATCAATCCATTTCTTGAAGCAGCTCCACAAAGAACCAAAACTAAGGTTAAAACGACGCCCTAGAATGAAAAAAAAAATATATTGCATGATAAATATAATAAAAATATAATAATAATAAAAATATAATAATAATAAATATAGTAATAAATATAATAAAAATAAGGCAGAATCCATTAAACCCTCAACTCTAGGGGATATTTTCCAAGCCCCTCATAGATGCTTGAAACAGTATTGTATCAATCCTATATAAAATGATTTTTTTTTTTCATGCATTCATTCCTACCTATGATGGTAATATTTTCTTATAAGGAAAGATTCGACATTCATTAACTGAGCAGTTATTGCTACTCTAGGTAGAAATTTATAAAATCTTTCAATTAAAACAATTTTTCTGGAAAATAGTTTTCTGAAGTTCACTCTTTTCAGTATTGTAAGAGTTTCTTTCCTAACCTTTTGTGTAAAGTAGTGTGGAAAGTCAATAACTTGATTATGTCATTATTTTCTCTTCTGACTGACATGTGCCATTAACTTTAGTTGTTGCTTGGTGTAATAGAATAACCAGTTACCCCATGAATGATTACACAAAAGGTTGTAAGTACCTACAAAGTCAACTGTCTACGAGAGATTGGGGAAGAGTTAGAGCGAGACGACACAAGCACATCTTGACTTTCCAATTAGTAGCACTCACTACTAGATTGACCTGTGTGTATAACTGTACCGTATTTCATATTGTACTGGTTGTGTACAATAAACCTTTCTTCTACTATCCACCTGGTACATTATTTACATTATTCAGACTATTGTCCTCATCTTTGTCACTATTGTATCTATTACAACGTTTCAGCCGTTGTACACTCAGGCCTTCTTCAGGTGGTTGGAATGTCGAACTGAACCCTTTATTTTGCTCACTGGGGTAGACTGTTCTAGTTCCACGTGCCATGTTTAATGGGTGTCAGTTATCTCCTGTTAATTTTCCCTCTGAAAGTTCTCCACTGCCTTAACCAGGTATTGAACTCACACTCTTTGGGTCCTGTCACTGGATCTAACCAACGCCTTTATCCCCTTGAGGACACATGGCACAGTGAATAAAGAGGGAAAATTAACAGGAGATAACTGATAACTGACATCCATTAAACATGGCACATGGAACTAGAACAGTCTATCCCAGTGAGTGAAATAAAGAGTTCAGTTCGACATTTCAACCACCTGAAGAAGGCCAGAGTGTACAACGGCCGAAATGTTGTAATAAATATGGCGACAAAGATGAGGATAATAGTCCGAATAATGTAAATAATGTACATAATACCTTATCTCAGAAATATAGACAGATATCCACCTGGTGTTAAGTATTTATTCCTTTAGCATGGAATATAACATTGGTGTTGTTGAAAATCTTCAAGTGATGTCATTTCTGATATTTGGCACAGTTCTTTGTCTAAGATTCTGTAGCACCAGACCACAAGGCTCAAAAGGTTTAATATATAAATTAGGCACAATAAAATAATAAACAACAATAATGATAAAATAAAACAATAAACAGTCATTATAGCTATATTGCAGTAGCATTCAAAACTTAATAATTCAACTAACTATTGCAAAAAAAATTTTGTGTGACAAAAAGATGCAAAAAAAAAGATCGACAAAGGGCAGGCTCTGGGAGTGGGTGGGGATTTGTCAACCAGTTGATGAATATAAAAAGGATTTTCAAATCAATCACTGTTGGTTTGAGTAAATAGAATAAACTTAGTTTCTGTCTGAATTTCTCAGATGAGAGTTATTATTTACTGTTATTCTATGAAGACCTATGTAGAAAAGGAAGATTTAGTTTTATTTTGATCTCAAGTATTTTTGAAATCTAGTTTTCTCAGTGGCATCCACTTTGAGTGAAGATAAATGGGGAAAGTAGTGGATGAGGGTTTTTGGAAATCAAGTGATAACAAAACCAAAAATAGGTTGTAAGTGGGTGCTGGGCTATATTAAAAGTCTTGGGATCAATTGGGGTCAGTTTGGGTCACCTGTTAACAGGAGACGAAATTGTCCATTTCATGGTTCTGATATCACCCATTTGCATTACCAGTCACATGTTGTGTAGATGGGTAAGGAGTTGATCTAAGTGATCCACATAGAAGTTGTCCAAAGTATAACCTACCTACCCACCTAGGCAAGCAAGTGAAACCCTGAATAAACACATCTATATTATAATATGGGAAACAGAGATCATGTTCTTATTTCTTGCTGTGGCATGTGTCTTTCATTTTGTTACCTTATGAGCATGTAGCAGGCCCCTTCCCAGTTTTTTTGAAGAGGTGCAGAATAGAAAAAAGAAAAGAAAGAAAAAAGAAAAAAGAGGAAGGAAAGAAGGAAAGAAAAAGAAGGAAAGAAAAAGAGGAAGGAAAGAAAAAGAGGAAGGAAAGAAAAAGAGGAAGGAAAGAAAAAGAGGAAGGAAAGAAAAAGAGAAAGGAAAGAAAAAGAGGAAGGAAAGAAAAAGAGGAAGGAAAGAAAAAGAGGAAGGAAAGAAAGAAAGAATAGAAAGAAAGAAAGAAACAAACAAGGTAAGAAAGAAAAGGAAAGAAAGAATAGAAAGAAAGAAAAGGAAAGAAAGAAACAAAAAAAACAAAATTAAAAAAAAAATAAATGTAAAATTTTATACTATTTTATACTGTATTTAAGAATTCTACTATTTTAGTTACATTGAAATGTTTTTCTTTCTATTTATTAGAACCAATCACAAAAAGTTTAAAAAACTTGAGTACTGGACAAAATCCTAAATTTTTATTTAAAAGAAAAAAGAAAATGCATAATAGTGAATTTAGTGTAGTGACTTTATTTTATTAGTATTGAATAATATAAGATAGATAAATCTAATTTTAGCAGCAGCAGCAGCAGAGATACAAAAATTTAAGGTAATAGAATGAAAAACTGCATTAAAGAATTTCTTCAAGACATTTTTTGAAATTCTGATTGGAGAGCATTAAAAGACACTTACAGAGTTTCTTGAGAATAATCAAAACTATTGGAATTGGAATGAGTAGCAGAACCCAGGCATGGATCCAGAGGCGTACAAGCACAAATGCCCAGAAAAGAGCAATGAAGCATTGGTCACTCAATGAACGCTGGTGTTGTTCTTTGACTTTTGTTTTTGGTTTTTCTTGCTGTTGGGATGATTTGGTCTGGAGGGGTAATGTCTTCATTTTACTTTCTTTAGCTTCACCATCTTTATTGCTGCCACCAGGGTGTTGGGTTCGAGTCCCTGCACCTTCATTAGCTTCCTCACCCTTGCCCAGTAAGTTTGTGGTTGGCACTTCTTCAATAGGAGTTCTTCGAGTTAGGGTTGGTGTGCTTTTGGGAGTTGTCAGCATAGCAAGGGCAGCATAAACTGGACTCTCACTTGGATCCTTTTCTGTTGGAAAGAAAGAAAGAAAAAAAAAGGAAATGTTAAAACAATTGTTTCATTTGAATTAATTTCAAATTTTAATTTTTTAATATTTTAATTACATTTTCTCTATATTATGTTTTACTATGTAAATATCATTCCAAAATAAAATATATATGGTGTAGATAGTTTTTCCTTGTAGATAAAAAACCAAAATAGCACCCATTTTTCTACACAAACTGAATGTCGACTGCTCAACAACCCAAAGCAGATTGTGTAAATACGTTTTCTGGGCATAGGCTCCATGCATACATCTGCTTTAACCAAAATAAAATGAACAATTTATTGACCAGTTAGAGCCACTTTTAATTCAGAGCTAATTGATGACTATATATATTCTCTAATTCAAACAAACCCTGAAACAGACCAGTGTTTGATGTCAACACCAGCAAGCTGAGAGAGATCTGCAACACAGACAAGCATTCATATCAACACTGATGCACTGGGAAAGAGAGACAACAATGACAGCTATCACCAATGTCTATTTCACTTCTAATTTCACCATTCTCTCTCCCTGTTGCCTTAGCAACAGATAGAAATTATTAGATTTGTATATTTGTAAATAAATTATACATTTATTTACCCATACTCAATTTATTCTTTTTACTAGAATTTATGTTTGCCAAGGAAGAGAAGGAATTATCCTCCACAACAGTAACAACAAAGTTCTGTCTTCCAGGTTACCCATTTCCACCTCCGCAACTAATTAAGGAAGCTTAAAAATTCGAAGAGATTTGACTGATTCCTCTATTTTAAGCACCTCAGACTCCTTTTTATGCAATTAAGTGATTATGGCCTACAAATCTCATAAAACCTATGCATATGCTCCTAACTTGAGCAGGCCTATATCATTATAACTGGTTTATATCAAAGAATAAAGATATTGTGGCTTTTATATCATACCTATTCATTCTTCAATATTTTCTAACAAAATTAGAGACAAAATCTTTGAAAGGATATAGAAGAAATAACAATAAAAATACGATAATGTAAGACTTTTCACACACACACACACACACACATATATATATATATCTTTGCAAATAAGAAAAGGGTTTGTTTGAAGAAGAAGAAAAATAAAACTACTTTATAATAAAAGTTGAAATACAATCTTTTACAGGATTTAAAAGACATAAAAAAAATGAAAATTCTATAATGTAAGATTTTTTTCTACATATATAGTTTTGCAAATATTAAATAACTCAAAAAAAAAATAAAACGACTTTAAAAAAGAAGTTGAGATGAATTTCTTTAAAGGAAATCTTACTTATTATAAAACGCAGATTGTGTGTGTGTGTGTGTGTGTGTGTGTGTGTGTGTGTGTACGTTTATATATTGGATCAGATTTCCTACATTTTTTCAACCGATTTCAACAAAACTTCATAGGACTGCGTAAAATTACCTTCCGTGGTTCTGACAGTGCCAAAAATTGGAAAAACACAATTGTTTTTTCTTGCGCGATCAAGAGGCATCACGAGAATGAAAGGGGGAAACTCATATCAAGTTATACTTATTATAAAACCCAGTTTGTTTTGTGTGTGTGTGTGTGTGTGTGTTCGTTTATATATGGGATCGGATTTCCTACATTTTTCAACCGATTTCAACAAAACTTTTTTGGCAAGTAGTGTTTCTTATTGTCTTGCACATTTTTTTCATTATTTTTACATTCAGAATGCTTTAAAAATTCCATTTACAAGACAATTGTTTATAATAAAATTCTATTCAATTGGTAGACTCATAACGATTGAAAACAAAGTTTTTGTTTTAGTTTGGGTTTGACCAATTTGTAAAAAAAAAACAAAAAACAAAACTAATTAAGATATGCGTGTCCGTCAACCTTAAACAATAATCTTTGTCAATTTTATTTTTCAATCTTTATGATGGTCGATACTTGATCTATCTCTTACTGTTACATCCCCGGGCAACGCCAGGCTCTACTGCTAGTAGTAAATATACCACAGAATAAATAAAAATAAAAATTCTATAATCTAAGACTTTTTACATAAAGTATAAATTCAACTGGAGTGAGAGTCAGTATAGTTTTATTGACTAACTCCAGTGACCCCTTAATTGCTTCAACTCCACACTCCTGGTGTTAAGGCATAGGAAATATCCTTATATATATATTCAGTATTGTTTGCTTTCTGTGTAATATCAAATCTTCTCAATAGCAGTGAATGTTGGATAATCAATTTCATCACAGACGATAAAAGGATTTTAAATGACAGGGATGTGGGTCTACCATCAAATTCTATCAGGGACAGGACATTTGAAGAACAAAGAAGCTTTAAGGAAAATAGAAACAACAAGGAAACTTAGAATCAGAAAGAGACAGATGAACATTCTGGGACACATGAGGATGGAGGGGTTAGAGAATTTAACACTCATCAGACATACTGACATTGAGAAAAGCAAGGGGAAACAGAGCAATTAACCGAGTCAACAAGCTTGTATGAAACAATGGCAGAACAAGAATAATGAGGAATGGTAAAAAGTAAAAAAATTGCTTACAGAAACAATAGAACGGAAGTTGTGATCAACTTTTTTTTGTAATTTTTCTTTTATTTTCTTGAAATAAAAATTTACAAAGGAAAAAATTTATTTAAATATTTTTCTGATTTACAAACTACAATAGTTGAGGATATATAAAACTCCCATGCCTACAAGTTGAAAATTCCTGCTGGCACGATTATTGCAGATGACACTTGTATTTGGCAACAAAAAGACAGTGGAATGTGGTATGTCAAATTGCTTAAAAGTTAGCCATTAATATACTGTACATACTTGCGTACCATGCAACTTTTGAAGATCTAATTTTGAAGCTAATTTGACTACAGTAAATGAATTTATAGTTTGGTCAACAGCATAGCCAGGGCCAGCAGTACTGATACGTAGTACAGGGAAGAAAGCTAGAATAGAATTGTTACATAGTAAAGAGAAGAAAGCAAGGATAGAATAACATTTTCTTAAGGGTTTACTTAACTTAATTCACAGCAGTCAGTAATCAACAAAGGAAAGAATTCAGAATGAAAAGGAAGAAGAACGCAGCTTTTAAAGAGGAATGGGAATGTGTGAAAAGTCACGTGGACAAGAAAGCTAATTTCCTTTTTTTTTTATTCTTTTTTTTTATGAAAATATAACATTCTCCCCCACTTGCAAAAGAGATTGTAATTGAAAAAGTTTTATAAATCCAGTCGTTGGATTGGTCTACGAATCCTGCTAGACCGGCGTAGAGGTAGTTCACCACTGGAAGAGCCAGACCTCTGAGAAGGCTGACTTTCAGGATTCTGGCTATTATTCACAGATTCATTTTCCGTGGAAGGTGAAGAAATATTAACGAGACCTGCATCAGGCAAAAGGGTTGAATCTGCATGGTCCACGTCGGGTTGAGTATTTTCAGGTTCATTTTGAGGTCCATCTGGGTGTGAAAAACGTGCCAACCGTCTCAGCGCCACCGAATCTTCCCGGCCATCATTGTGACATATTTTGGCATGCGTAGGGTTTTTATTCTTTTTTTTATGAAAATATAACAAGTACTTATGCTAATTTTATATCTCAGGTATGATGTGACCCACCCACCCCTTAAAATTAGCTTCAAAAGTCGCATGATATGTAAGTATATGATGTAATCAGTGGAGGAGGGGCATATTCAACATTTGATAATTTTTCTGGCAATACATGCTTAAAGGTAGTTTTGATCAACATTTCTTTTCATGATTAGCTGTAAGGAATTGTAAATGTAGGACTATTTTACATTTAAGTAAAATAATAACAGTAATAATTTTTATTAAGAATTTATTACAGGAAATATCAAGTTTTATGGAAACATTGTCGACAATTTAGTATTTAGTTACATAACAAATAAATAAAAAATATAAATTTTGATGCTATATTCGATTAGTTATTAGGTATTTTTCATTTTCTCTTCTGTTATTGGCAGCATTTTAGAATACTTTGACTGCAATGGTAAGTTTGCTAAGTTGAACAAACTGGAGCTATTTTGTTTACGCTTTGTTACCTCTCTTTTCCATTGTTGTCTTAGATCACTTCCTTCCAGTTATTTTGATCGGAAATAGCAAAATTCTGAAATTTAGAATTATCTTATTCCATTTCAAAAATAAAGCCTGTAAAAAGGAATATTTTAAATTAATATATAACCAAAAATAGAATGCTTTTGGCAAGAAACTTTAATGATTTCACTATAATTATGTAACAATAAAGTAATGATATTCCACACACAAATCTACGGTTTATGTTACCTCATCTGATTGCATGGTTACAAACTATAAACCTAAATTATGCTTGAAATATTATGTAACCGGCTCTATTTTTTTTTTTTTTGTAAAATACTTGGATATGATATAATGAATAATTTGCAGTGAAAAAAGCAATTTTCGAATTTTTGTTGAATATGCTCCTCCTCCACCGAACATATTATATATGGTAATTGTTTGACATTTTATCAATGATTGTTCATCTAAATTAATAATAACTGAGAAAAAAATAATGAATAAAAAAAAAAAAAACTTCAAAATGGATGATTAAAATCAACATTTAAAAAAAAAAAAAAATTAAATAGATATAGAGGGTTCTCTTTAGGGTCAGTTTTTATTTACCGGGGTTTTATTTTTTGAGGGACCTGAATTATAGTGATACAGCTTCTGTTCATGTATTTGAATATAACAAAGTCCATTGTGATGACAAATGCATATATTAACCCATATCCTTTTAGTGTTGTCACATATCTAAGCTATAATTATAAACTAATTTTGCAAAGTGAAAATTTCACTGAAATATTTTCAAGCTTTCATATGAAATCAAGAAAATACAAACTTTAAGCAAAATGGTCATAACATGAAATAAAGGTGTCAGTTTAAACTGACACCAGGAGGATATGGGTTAATGCTGAAAGAAGTGAATAGATTGTTTAGGCGTCAGCCAGTATGAAATGATATATGGCCATTTGAAAATGTAACTATATTTAGATCAGTTAAAAACCAGTCATTGATTGGTCAATATTTTCATGCAGCATCCAACTCATTCTTGGCCAATGCTGATTATTGATTCATACAAGCTTTGGCAAAAAAAAAAAAAAAAAAAAAAAAAAAAATAAAATAAACATTAATGAAAAACCTTTGTTCTATCACATTTCCATGATTTTTTTCTTCCCTTTTACTATAAAATTTTTCAGTCCTTTTCAGCAAGATGGGGGTCTGCTTTTAAATGCAGAAAATAATAAATTGTTAATTAGTCGTTGTAATTGAATTTCTTCTCCTATTTAATACAGGATCATTTTAAGCATTTTTTTTTTTTAATGCCATGTCCCTTTAGGATGTAGGTGATCACGGCTCTCCCAAGATTCCTTTTCATAGTATTATTTGAAATTCTTAAATATAAAATACTCTCATTATTTATGGTATTATTTGAACAAGTATTTTATCTTTATTACATATTTAAAGGAGGTGATAAGAAGTGAAGATTAGGAGGATAGACCCTTGACTTGAATAGGCTAAGATTGTAGTGTTCATGGAAGCATCCACACAAGTATCTGTTATGAAAAGTAGTAGTTTTGAGAGGTTAGGAAACTGAGTAGGACTTTCTCCTTACGTTTGGAACACAGATGAAATAACAGTGAGTCAACTCTGTGGAAGTAGCATATCATGTCCAAGCTGTAAAGGTCTGAACTGGGGGAAATAAGAGTGATTCAACTCTATGGAAGAAGCATCACATGTCCTAGTGTTAAATAATAGTTTAGCAGACTATTATTTTTAGAGGGAATGGTATCTCTGTTTGAACTTCCTGAGGTTGACCTTAGGGATCAGACAGAAGACAAAACAAGGAAGTTGATTTTGATTGACTGAATGAGGATGGGAATGATAGAGATATAGAAAGGTTTTTCAGTGAGATTTTTCCTGAACCATCAAGCAATATAAACATATTTCTTTTTGTGTCTGGAACTGCTCCCCAGTGGAGTGAGAGAGCAACCCCACTGGATATTTAAAAATGTAAACATTGACGACATTAATAAAATAGTTAAGTTTAAAATTCCCTGTGTTGAAATTGTTTTATCACTGGCCATGAAAGAAGAATGAAATTTATTATCAAATCAAGACTGTCGCCTAAGAGCTTTCCAGCACGAGAAGACTATACAATATTTATAATTATTTGGTGACATGACCAGGATCTCCTAGCATAGGAGGGGGGGGGGCAGAATGCGGGTTACAGCACAACATGGCAATCTTCAAAGAAAATTTTCAGAGAAGGATTCAATAAGGGAATATGAAAAAAAAAAAAAAGGAAAAGTAATCTTGACATAAGGACAGAAAAAATGTTCTACTGCTCACACGCATACATCTAAACAACAAACCAAAATTGTGAAATAATGATGAAAAGAAATGTAGAAAAAAGTGTAAGCGGACAGGTTGTCGCATGTACAATGGAAAATTGTTTTGAAAAAGAAAGACTGACGGCATTTTGTGATGGACAGATCAAACAAAAATTATGAACACAAGGACCAATATACTAGAAAAGAAAAAAAAGATAACAAAAGGACATAATGAATACCCAAACTCATGCGTGTACATTGATGCAACAATGTCAATTTTGATGAAACATTTTAGTGAGAGATTGATTTTTGTTGTTTAGTTTTGTCTTTTCACAAAGTTTTAGAACTATGTGTAAAAATCTATTGTTAATTTTATTTGGCACACTTTAATGTTGTATGTCTGGCAGTCTGTTTTTTTTTTAAATTTGTTTGTGGAAAAATCTGGCAGCGAAAGTTTTGCTTTTAAAAGAAAATTTTCTGGAGATGGAAATTTGACCAGTAAATAAATTTTCCTGATGTTGACCTTTGAGGAAGTTTGATGATGTGTCATGTGAAGGCCTGAATATGAGTATGTGAACGCAATGGAAAATTGTTTTGAAAAAGAAAGACTGACGGTATTTTGTGATGGGGCATTCCCACAGTGATTTCTGTGTGTTGTTAATGAGTTGAAAATTTCTGTGACTTTGTTTTTGCATGCATTCAAATGTTTTAAGTTTAGAATTATTTTGTTAATTATAATTAACTGACAAATGATTGTTTGTTTTTCATTTTTGTAACTGTGAGGAATTCTTTTCTTTTTTTAATTTAACGGCCATGTGTATGTGCTTTTGCCTTCATTGGTTGAATAACTAAGTTGATAATTGGTGAATTTTGGAAGTTAATTTTTCTGGGAAGATTAGGTTAATTAATTGTTGTGGGAATAAGTAGATTCAGCCTGCATAGTTTCAGATTTGCGAATGTGGTTTGGGTCTGTGTCCTGACAGGGGAAATTGTCACATCTGGCTATGTAAAGATGGAAACAATGTTGGGTAGAATGGAAGCTGTACACTATGAGGTATTCAGAATAGAATGGATATACCCTAAGATACCCATGGGGCCTATGGACAACCCTGATAACAAAAAAGGAATTGGTCAGGTGGCTTGTGGGATGCCAAGTCACGGTAGATGACTAAGGGAAGAAAACCCTTGTAACCACAGTGAAGCCAGTAATGGATTAGTTAGGAGGTGCTGAGTGGGTGTGGTTGTTTTCCCTGTGGGGGTAACCAGGGCAGAAGGATTTGAAATGGTGTAAGTTGAGTTTTAGCACACAGAGACAGATGGTTAATAATAGTAATTATAGAAAATTAATGGTGGTAAATTTGTGAATATTTGTTCAAGTAAATCTGGTAATATGCAAATAAAGTAATTAATTGGTTGTGGTTGAATAAATAGGGTGATAATGGACTGTGTGTGCTGTGTCACTGTAAATAGGAAATAAGTGTGGATCATGGCATATTTAAAGTGTAAAATTTAGGTGGCAAGGACGTGGCTCAGTTATGGAATTGGTTGGCACTGTGGAGTGGGGTTTTTGACATGTACCGTATGATTTTTAGACTAGTATTTTTTTCTGTGAATTATATGTACATTTTGTGTAGTCTCAAGTGAAGAGGTAAAAAATTTTGTTCTCCCCATGAATATGGGATTGTAGAGTTGGTACCTGCTGACTTGGGTGGAGGTGACAACTAGAGAGGTCAAAGTTCACTGTTATAGTGATTTATATCCAGCCGGTCTTCTGGGGTGTTGGTGTTAGGTGATGAAATCTAGTGACCAAGAATAGACAAGGGATTGTCTGGTATGCCTTTTTTTTTTGTAAAAGAAAATATTTGTGAAGTGTGACAAAACTGGTCAGAATTTTCTTGTATATGTTCATTCTTTTTCAGGAATGGCATATGTGCATGCCAGAGGGGTCATGTGACTGAGGCCCAATGGAGAAAAAAATGTAAGGAGCACATCTTGCAAAAACAAAGAGTAGAGGGGATTTTATATTCATAAATTAATTTTGTTTTAATGATTAGGTAAGTTATATTAAATAATAGTTTAGCAGAATTATTTTTAGGGGGAATGGTATCTTTGCTTGAACTTCCTGAGGTTGACTTTAGGGATCAGATAGAAGACGAAACAAGAAAGTTGATTTTGATTGGCTGAACGAGCATGGGAATGATAGAGATATAGAAAGGTTTTTCAGTGAGTTGATTATGAACCGTCAAGCAATGTAAACATGTTTCCATTTGTGCCTGGAACTGTTCCCCAGTGGAGTGAGAGAGCAACCCCACTGGATATTTAGAAATGTAAACGTCAACAACATTAATAAAATAGTTAAGTTTAAAATTCTCCATGTTGAAGTTCTTTTATCTCTGCACTCAAAACATCTAGCGATCACCGGCGTTGAAAAAGAATGCAACTTTATTATCGATTCAAGACTGTCGGTCAAGAGCTTCCCAGCATGAGGTTATACAACACTAGCTGTAAAAGGTCTGAACTGTGGGAAATAATGGTGATTCAACTCTATGGAAGTAGCATTGCATGTCCTAGCTGTAAAGGTTTGAACTGGGGGAAATAAAGAATGGAGCTTATCTGAACATTTGCCATAGAAAGAGTAATAGGTTTGTGATGTTGCATCTTTGGAGAAAGAGGCTTCAAAATGGAGTGTAAGTCTTTAGTTGTCATAAGAATGTGTAAATGATTTTAAAACTCTATCAAGTTTGGAAAGTGAGGAGTGAACAGTTCTAGCTCAGATATGGCAGCAATAATACCATTTTCAGTCTAATCTGTTTCTTGTAAAGAAAGCATGACTGAAAGAGTAGAGTGATAGAATGGCTAAGCATTTTCTTGCATCTTTAGTGATGGATCATTCTACATGAGGTCTGATAGACCATATCATTCAAGCTACAAACAACAAGTGAGGCATAAGGTCAAATAGAAATTGACTACAAACCTGAAGATGTCCCATCCTCAATTCCTGGTTTCCGGATCTCTGATGCATAGCCTACAACCATCATGATTGTAGTAATAATCAAGATGGGAACTCCAAGAGATCCTGCAATGGAACACATATGGAGTACCAAGATCAGCCAGATAGGAATGGACAGATACTGAATCTGCTTGTTGTTATCTGGGCGCCAGTATAAGACAACCATGATAATGTAAGCCAAAACAAGGGTCCATATCTGAAAATAATTAAAAAATGCAGAAATTATTACTTCTGTGGGATATGAGAAAATTCTTAGGAGTCATGTATAATTAAAGATGAAAAAAATAAAAGGATATATATATATATATATATATATATATATGTATATATAAAATCAAATATGTGGTGCAGTTTAATTTATATTACAATAAATCATTCATTCAAAAAGTAAATTAGTAAAGTTAATAATATAAAATGGTGAAATACCTTTACTAACAAAATTTTAAAGATGCATTAACCCGCTAATCACTCAATGAATGTTATGATCCTTGTTTTTTAAAATTATAAACTGTTATAGATCTTCCTTAAATACACAAGTACTTTCGACGGTTTGTCCAATCATCATCAAGCATGGAAATTATTTTGTTTTTGGTAAAATTCAGGTAGCATCCGAGACAAAAAAAAGTATAATGTGAATCGAAATGTTTTTTTTAAATGTGTTACTGACAACAGATATAAACTTGTGGAGCACACAGTCGCAAAACTAAAGTTGATTTTTTTTGAAAATCTAAATGAGTGCGTTTTTTTACTAATATGGCAATTAAACAGTTTTTTGTTGTACGAGTTTATCATTCAACATGGCATGAACTAAATAGTTCAATAAGTAATATCTCAGTTGTTATCCCGAAAATTTGCATGTCGGATCAGTTCTTTTAAATCAAATATGTGGTGCAGTTTAATTTATATTACAATGAATCATTTGTACAAAAAGTAAATTAGTAAAATTAATGATATATAATGATATCATTAACTTTACTAATTTACTTTTTGTATGAATGATTCATAAAAATAAAAATACATACACACCTTATAAAAAACCCAACACCAATCCTTTATATATACACCCTAAATCAAATCACCCCACCATCTATAATTAAACATATACCGTTAAAGAATTAAAAGAATTAGTACAAATTCAGCAAATGACAAGATTTTCGATGAGCATTTCAATTCCCATACAACCAAATGGTAAAGAACAAATTAGGACAAAAATTCCTCGCATTAATAGTCAAGTAAACTAAGTACTAATTACTATTTTCAATAAAAACACACTAAAATTGATTTACAGCTGTACGAAAAAACTTAGAAAAAATTATTAAGAAACATAATGCTAATATCTTAAATAAACACTTATACCAAAACCAAAAAAATTTAGACAATGGAAAAATAAAAATAAAAATTGATGAAAATAAACAAAAATTATGTAACTATAGAAATCCTCATAATAGCCCTCTACAAAATAAATGTCGCACAGAATCATTAGTATACCAATGCAATATCTCTTCGATTGAAAATCCTGAAAACATAAAAATATATATAGGTTGCACTAGCCATGAGTTAAAAAAAAAAAAGATTCAATCAAAGTTCATTTAGGATAAATAAATATAAAAATCAAACATCTCTCTCGAAGTACTTCTGGCACCGAAAAGAATCAAATAAAACACCTACAGTAAAATGGAAGTTAATAAGAAAAAAGGGGGAGAGAGAAGACATGAGTGAGTTAGATGTAATTCAAAATTTCTATACTTTCATAGTCAAAATTATTTGAGGAGGTCCAGACATTGACACATTTAAACACTGGACCTCCTCAAACAAAGCATAGAAATTTTGAATTACATCTAACTCACTCATGTCTTCTCTCTCCCCCCTCACTTCCTCACATCGTTAATTTACATATGTTTAATACGGCCCATCAAAAATGTGTAAATTTCTTTTCATTTTTTGTTTCAACCTTTGGAAGTAAAGTCTGATGATCTGCAGACCTTTAAAAGGGCTGTGGTGAAATAATTTATTATACGGAACCTTAAAGTGGTCTGTTTTTATTTAAATTATTTGCTCTGGATTTACATTGAGCTCTCTGGATTTTATCCTCCTTGGGTTTACCCATACGGATTACCTAGTTTTTCATAAACTATATTATATATATATATATGCATGTGCATGTATGTATAATTTAAGAGAGAATATATCTGTAAAAGGACAGTATAAATAAAGACAAAAGGAACCTCTGATGGGCTTTATCAAGGCAAATACAAAGATTTTATTTTGTAACAAGTATTTGACAAGCGCTTAAATGATATTTTTTCAAAATTTTAAATTAAAAAATACTCATAAAATATTCATTAGGTTAGCGGAAAAGTCTTGGTAAGTTATGGAGGACATTAAATGAAAGTGAGTAAAAAATGTTCTTGAAATTTTTATGCAAATTAATATTTAAATTATTTTAATTTGGGATTAACTTATGTGTTATATATTTTAAATAACATGGGGTTATGAATTTAACTTATCTTTTAATTTAAAAAAAAAAATTATAGTTGTGTATTTTGGCTTTGGAAAGTAGCCATTTTTTAGGAATGGAAATATTTAATTTATATTTTGATAAGTTTCAACATAATATGGCCATAAGCCTTTATTGCGATAATCATGCAGGATATTTTCACTGTTATGATTTCTTGCTTTATGTTCAGCTCTACTGTTTGCTTTTTATATACAGTAATGTTTCCTACTACAGCTAGCTTTTGTAATGCTTTTTTTTTTCAATGTAATGATTGCTTGCTTGCTTTAAATATGTGGTTAAATACATGAATTATTTAAGTTTTCCTAAATATACCCTGCTAAAATGGGGGTGTATCTAATATGCCATGCTTCTTATGTTGTCAAATACAGTGTGTGTGTGTGTATATATATATATATATATATATAATAAATTGAATCCTTTCTGATGCAATCATAGTTCAGATGGGCTGGTCATGTCATCAGAATGAGTGATGAACAGATGCCGAAAATCCTCATGTATAGCCAACTTTTTCATGTTAAGCGTAATGTAGGCCATTCTTGGTTATGCTTCAAGGACAAACTTAAATACAATTTAATTACTGCAAGCATCCCTATAGAGGAGTTTGAACTTGCTGTTGAAAACCGAGCAAACTGGAGAAACACCTGCTACCGAGGTATAACTAACTTTGAAAAGAATAGTCTCAACCATCTGAGAGAATTAAGAATTAACACTAAATCTAATACCTCAGCCCATATGACAGTCAACTCTTCAGTGTGCCCTTCATGTGGATTTGTCTGCAAATCCCATGCAGGATTGTTGTCTCGTATGAAATATAAACATAAAAACTGAACTGAAAGACACTCATATGTTGAAAATGATGAGAGAGTCCATCCTCATAAAAAATGTATTTAAACTATTTACATTGTTTGGAATGTAATCCTCGTCTTTATTGTCATATACACAATGTTTCGGCCGTTGTACACTCTGGCCTTCTTCAGCTGATATATGTTGGAATTTTGAACTGAACCTTTTATTTAGTCCATGGTGGGTACATGCTTGCCAATTCCATATACCATGCCTTTTCTGAATATCTCAGATTTGGTTTTTGTTCACCTCTGCTGTGGCTGAATATTGAACTCACAACTCTTTGGGTCAAGTCACTTTTTGGATTATTTCAACCAATACTTTTATCCATTGGGCCATGTGTCCTTGGGGAAACCCAAACCTAAACAGGAAACAAACATCTACTCCTGTTTAAAAAACCAGGGAGCAATGTGAACTGGACACTAGGTGAAGCTAGCTACTCCTACTATTAAAGTCATGGCAATTCAGAGTTTTTTTTTCTTATATAAAGATTCACTCAGTACATGGCTCAAGAGCCACTTAAGATAGAAGGTCAGTGTTAAAATAGTTATGACTAAGCTGTGATATAACTGAAAGAGAAAGTGACAGAAAGTGAAGTTTTTGGGGTTAAGAAGGAAAGATAATAAATTACCCTTGATTTGAAGAGGTTAAGACTTTAGTATTCAAAGGAGCCTCCATACATTTAAAGTTGTAGAGGGACATATTTAAAAAAAAAAAAAAAAAGAAAAAGAAATCATGAGGTGGTATAATAAGTCTTGTCACAACAACTTAGGTGTTGTAGAATACCTATGGACAATAATGGGTATGTCCCCATTCACATAAATACAGTAGTAAATACTGTATGTTGGTCTGCAGTCAGAGATTCATTGTGCAATTCATTGACTCACTTCTAGCAGTTGACTACTACTTCTATGTGTTGCTCGCAAATCTTCTATGTGTTGTTCTTGTCCTAAGTATTATTGTTCATTACCAACTTTCATGTAATTATTCTATTCAGTAACCTTCCCTAGGTTACAACAGAAGGTAAACTGAGCATTTATACTGAATGATGGAATTGCCATAAATCTTGCAATACACAAGTGGCATCAATAGCTACTACAAATATCAACTGTAAAACTTCATGTTTTGAATTTCCACATGTAATTAGATTTTATTTGTCATGCCATGATAGTAAAAACTGTTACCCATGTTTTTTTTTGTGTGGATACTTTCAAGGTGCAGTTTGAGATCAATCAAAACGGCTTTGGTTTTTGATCAATAAAATTACAAAGCAATAAAAACAGTGAGCAACTGGAAATACTTAATGATGAAAGAGAAAAAAAACTAGTAACATTCAATTCTGTTCATATATAGCAATGCTTGTCTTTGCATAAGAAAAAGAATCAGAGAGGTGTTTCATGTTTAAGAATAATATTCCATATGAGATATTAGCATATGTGCACGTGTATGTGTGTGTGTATATGCACATGCAGACAAAGCATTGACTCATCATGATTCAATGCTGTTTGGGAGAAGACAAAATATCTATTTCTGTTCTGTTGTATTTCGGGATGTGTCTGTTGTCGGCTAGACATAGAGAAGGCAAGTACAGATTTTTTTTTTTTTTTTTTTTCCTGGCAGGATGGTTGACCAACCAGCATGTGAGAAAGCATTTCATTTGGAACTCATTTTGTTCTCTCGCTCTTGTGTGTACGTTTGTGGAAAAAGTTCTTTGCCTGACAAAAAATGGATTCTGAAAAAAAAAAAAAAAAATTCTGATTTTTGGAAGTGAGTTGAGTTGAGAATTTTTCAGCACCCTCTTCGTGTATGAGAGAAAGTGAGGGAGAGAGATAGAGAAAATGGGGAAAGGAAGAGAGCAAGGGAGAGGAAGAGAAAGACAGAGAGACAAAAAAAGGTGGGAGGAAAACAATAGGGAAAGAAGATGGTTGAAGGAGAGTGGAGGAGAGAGAGGAAGAGAGGATGATAAGAGAGGAAGAGAGGATGATAAGAGAGGAAGAGAGGATGATAAGAGAGGAAGAGAGGATGATAAGAGAGGAAGAGGAGAGAGAGAGGAGGATGGGAGAGAAAGAGAGGGAAGAAATGCGAGAAGGGAGAGAAAGAGAGGGAAGAAATGCGAGAAGGGAGAGAAAGAGAGGGAAGAAATGCGAGAAGGGAGAGAAAGAGAGGGAAGAAATGCGAGAAGGGAGAGAAAGAGAGGGAAGAAAGAAGAGAGTGACAAAAAGAATAAGCAAAAGAAAATAGTTGGGGAGAGAGAGGGAGAGATCTAAAACAATGGTAGTTACTAGTAGATAGCAAGCCCCTATAACACTGCAAAGAATATTTCAAAGCAAAACTTATACGATGATCAGCAGCTGATTCATCTTATTTTTATTCAGACTAATGTTCTCATCTTTGTTGCTATGACAACATTTTGGCTATTGTGCCCTCCAGCCTTCTTAAGGTATCTGTCAATCCAGATAACCTTCAGGAAATTTTGAATTGAACACTTTATTTAATCTGCTGTTCCAATGTCCACGTTTAGAGATATCTTGTTCTTTTTTTAGTACAGCACAGTTATTTCTTGCCTTATGTCCACCAAGTCTAAATCTGTACAATCTTGCTCAACGATTCAACTCACAATTATTATACTACCAAATTCACAAACCATTTCATCTACTGGGCTATGATTCATCTATATTTTGACGTAGCTTCTCTTACAACATCATTTTGATTTGTAATCAGAATTTAATCATTTATAATCATACATATTTCATTATGGAGACATTATGGGTCTTGTGTGTCAGAATTTAGCTGTTAAGTACAAGTAACCTAACCATCAATAAGACTCCTTATATATATATATATATATATATATATAGATATGAAAAAATTCTCAGAATTAGCCTGTAAAAAAAAGACTATGTATAAAGGTAAAAGACTATAAGAAAACTGTATTATTAGCTAACGCGTTTTGTCCAATGTGGACTTTTTCAAGGCAAAAACAAAATGAATTTATTGAAAACAAAGTAACTATTAATAACAAACAAAATGTCCTTAGCAACTAGAAGAATTTACAAAATGTTATTGTATTCATATTCAGCGTTTTCTAAATTTATATTCATTTTCTAGTTGCTAAGGACATTTTGTTTGTTGTTAATAGTTACTTTGTTTTCAATAAATTCATTTCGTTTTTACCTTGAAAAAGTCAACATTGGACGAAATGCATTCGCTAATGATAGTTTTCCTATTGTCTTTTACCTTTATACATACACACATATATATATATATATATATATATATATATATTGAGGTCAACACTCAGCAGTGGGTGTCTGTTTTTGTGCTTAAGTGCAATCTTCATAAATATAGCATACCTTAAAACTATATATATATATATATATATATATATATATATATATATATATATATATATATATATATATATGATAAAAATATAGTTTTAAGGTATGCTATATTTATGGTTAAAAGTGCTCAATATCAGGGATAGTGTATGTAAATATAAAAGTAGACACTGAAGTCAACACTCAGAAGCAACAGTCTGTTTAATGTTTGAATATAATCGTCATGGACTGATGATTGTGTTTAAACATGAAACAGACTGTTGCCACTGGGTGTTGATTTCAATGTCCACTTTATTATATATATATATATGTGTGTGTGATAGAAATTTTTGGAGGTTTGAATAATTTCTCATAATAATTTGTTGAATCTAGAACAAGAATCCGCAGCAGAAAGCACAGGACTACGATTTCATCCTTATTTATATACATAATACAGGTCATAAATCCGTTGGTGGATCCTAGTAATATTATCAAATATTAAAACTGATCCACAAAAAGAGCTCAATGTATTCATTATAACAGCATCAAAATTTACCTCATATGAAGGGTATATGAGGTAATTTTGGATTTTGTTGTGTTATATATATATATATATATATATATATATATATATGTATAACACGTTATTTGTTAATAGGATCTTTGGTCATTAACTGAAAGGCAGTTAAACACTTTCACAATAATGAATGCTGTAATGTTTAGAAAGAAAAGCCTTTGATGCTTCGATTTAAATGACACTGGAAGGCAAAAACAAAAATAAGTCTTACAAACTTACATGATGTAAGCATTTTTTGTTTTGTATGAATTATCACACACAAATAAAAAAAGCACACTCATATTTCTCTCACTCAGTAAAATTAAAAAAAAATTTTTGGTCATTTTTCCTACATGAATAATCTAAAATTTCTATTTATACAATTAACTATATAGCCACATGTGTAAAAGAATTTTGCTTTTTAAATTATCAAAAGTAATAATACCCAAAGAAAACTAATACAGTAAAATAAAATAGCTATTAACAGCCTGATCTCCCTAACTTACTAATGCAATTCTTTTATTAACATAAGGTATGTTTACTTATTGCCATAGAGTAATACCTTCTTTCACTATAGGAAATGTGGGTGGCTTGGAATTAGAAATTAGAAAGCAGAGTTTAGATTTCACTTGAATTTATTATATTCACTTATGTACAAATAACTTTAGGAATAGTATGAACCATCTCTTCTCCCCCAGCTAAAGTGTAGGACTTGTATCTGTAAAAAATCATTGTTATTGTAAAGAAATTGGTAATGCAATATTCAAAAAAAAAAAAAAAAAAAAAGAATATATTCTTTCAATCCCTAAAATATGTTCAAAATGTAAATCACAAAGGGATGATAAACAGTAAAAAAAAAAAATAAATAAAATAAAAAAAATCAATCAACTTCCATCTTAGTGGTAGGTATTTGTGATTGAGAATGTTTTCACTTTATTTGAATGTAGAATGGAAAGAAAATATAAGGTTGAACAAGGGATGACATTTCTTCAAACAAAAAATCCATTTTGTCTGACCTCCTTCAAAATGGATCAAAAGATTGATAAGTTTTAATGCAGCCAATTCTTGACCGTTTTATTGACTTTTCTCTAAAATGTTTTGATTGCAACAACTTCAAAGGGAAATTATTCACTCTTGAGTTTTGACATTTGCAAAAAAAAAAAAAAAAAAAAAAAAGAGAAAAAAAAAAAAAAAAAAAAAAAAAAAAGGTAGCTATCTTATAGGTCAAGGTTTCTTAATGTGTTTCACAGACTCTTGGCAGTGAATAAAAGATTGACAGAGGTTAATAAAAGCTGTGGAGACCATAGAGGGTAACTTTATTAACTTGCATTATTATAACAAAAGCATAAAAAGTTGCTGGAGCATGTAGTATTTGATTGATGCTTTATGGTTTATTTTGTTTTATGGCATATCAACATCAATGGGTTAGTTAATGCTGACAAGATTTTTAAGATAGGTTTGTATGAATAGAATATATATTCTGTGTAAGGAATCAGTTTGTAGATCAGTTTTCATTGATGTATTTTTGTAAAGAGGATTTTTGTTGAGAGTCAAATATATGGTTGGTATTTTTATAAGTTCATAGTGTTTTGACCCAGTTAACAGGGGTAAAAAATCCTCATAGCTGTGACCCTAACAGGTTCTACCACCCTGAGTCAGGGTGAATGTGGGAACAACAGCAATTAAGAGGTATTTCCATGCTCCTCAAAACCTCCTGATCAGAGGACTTGATGCCGGATGTAGTTTATCATCATACCCAAGATGAGTGATTGATTGATTTATTTTTATTTTTTATGGCTTATCAGCGCTTAAACATATTTTGGATTGTTAGAATAACTTTTTTTAGTGAGTAAATTAACAATTTTTGGTGAATAATAATGATTTTTCCAGATACAAATCCTGCTATTTAACCCATAGCTGGAGAGAGGAAATGTATTCATACCTTGTTGGACCATGCAGACTAGCAATCAGACATGGTACAACTCGTAGAATGCTTGTAGATGAAGTCTATATTCACATTTAAAGGAACTGGGTATGACTTAATGAAAAACTATAGCAAAATACCCCGAGTAACTGCTGAACCCATTTTTCAAGTTTTTCTACATTTATATCTGGTGGAATCTGTGTTTCGCCATGTGTATTATTTACAAAGCAAATAGAGAAGCACTTTTAATATAGGGATTTGCAGCTCAAATTCACAAACCTGCAACTTAATATTAGTAATAATCTCCATGACTACCAAACTAATCCTTCCTGTGAAAAAAATGTAATTCAAGCATTAAAAGTGCATTTGCATTTTTAGTTTAATGATTTTTTTTTTTTCAAGCAAAATGTACTAAACACTAGTTTTTTTGTAATTTCATATTCAGTTAATTTGTTTAGTAGGGGGAATAGGAATTATAATTTTGTTACAAAGTGTCTATCAAATAAAAAGTTTCAGAAACTGGTTATAATCAACGTTGCTTGAATATAGGATAATTGCATAATAACCCTCAATGGGTGCTCCATTACTGTGGCCTTATACTAGATATTTCCAGCTAAATAAGCATATTGAGATCTGTACTATTGGATGATGGTTAGTGCTATAACTTGCTACTAACAATTATAATATAATTGTCTTGCTTAAGCTACTTGCTGTGATGTCATTAGAAATTCTCCTTGACTGACTCCAATGGACTTCTCTTGACTCACTTTGAGTTCTTTATTTAAGGTGTCTTGCCTAGTTCATTAGTGTTACTGAGGAATCTTATTTACTCCACAAGTTAGCAAACTTGTTTCAAATACCAATTCAGAAATGGAATAATATAGTTTTGTGCCAAAACACTTATAATTCAAATAAAAAAAAAAAAGTTGAAATTTCTCAAGCATATAATGAAAAAAATGGGCTTGGAAAATTTGATACTCACAGGACATATTAAA